TAAAACACACTGATGAATACATGTAAATCTGAGTGAACTCACTGGATCGTATTATCAGTTTCTTGGATGTGATGTTGTACTATAGTTTTGTAAGATGCTACCACTGAGGCAAATTAGGTGAAGGGTACACAGATCTCAGTACATTTGAATCCACAATCACCTCAAAATAAAAAGTTAAATTAAAAAAAAGATAGCTAGAGAAATTCCTTAAAATGTGATAAGCATTTAGGGAATAGTGCAAAATGTGAAGGAATACTAACTGAGCAGAATAATCTTATGCACATATGTATTTGTACTGCTTAAGTATTTCTTCAGGGTAAATTCCTAGATGTATCAATACTGGATTAGAAAATAAAAGCATATGTAGGAATGTGTTAACTCTGCATTAACTTAGGGAAGACTTAAAGTATTTCTTTCCATTTCCTTGTGTCTACTTTTATGTCTCTTAAGAATGGTTTATAGCTCTCTTCATAACAGGAATAAATTTAACAAGAAATGTGCAAACTCTATTTTATCTTCTCTGTTGCTACTGCCCTCCCCACTAATAAAGTCTATTACTGGTTATTGTTTGTACATGTAAAAGCTACTGATTTCTGTATAATTTTATATTTTGCTACTTCATAGAACTACTTTTATTGTCTAAGTAGTATTATTTCTCTTGTTTTCCAGGTTCATGCTATCATCTGCAAAAATCCAACTCTCCTGTCTCTAGAAGTTTCTTCTTTAAATGTGCTAGCTATGAGGTGCCCAGGTGGCTCAGTCGGTTAAGAGTCCAACTTCACCTCAGGTCATGATCTCACCGTTTGTGAATTCAAGCCCTGCATTGGGCTCTGTGCTGACAGCTCAGAGCCTGGAGCCTGCTTTGGATTCTGTGTCTCCCTCCGTCTCTGGCCTTCCCTCATTAGCACCCTATCTATCTCTCTCTTTCTCAAAAATAAACATTAAAAAAATAATAAAATCTCACAAAGTCTGCTATGATGAGTTTTACTGTCATTTTTAGAAATTCATAATTTCAGCTTTTATTTCTTACTTGCTGTTTCTTTTTCTACATGATAACAAGTCTTACTTTCTGTTTTAACTTCATGTTATTTGGAATAGTTTGTAATTTTGTTCTAGTTGTTACCTTTATACAACTAGGTAAGTGTACTGCTATTCTCACTTCTCCCCCTTACAGGTTACTTGATCTTTTTGCCTAGACCTTGAATATATTATCTTTATTATTAATGCCTAATCATTTTAGTAGAATATGTCTTAGAGGTGATTAATACTGGTTAATTTTCTCAGGCACTTTGTCAGCCCTGTCAATTTGATTTTAGTCTTTTATTTCCAGACATTTTTCTTGGATTACAGATTCAGTATTAGTTCTGCTCCCGTTTTTTAAAACATTTTTAATGTTAATTTATTTTTGAGAGAGAGACAAACAGAGCATGAGCAGGGGAGGGGCAGAGAGAGAGGGAGACAAAGAATTTGAAACAGGCTCCAGGCTCTGAGATGCCACCACAAAGCCGGACGCGGGACTCGAAGCCATGAACTGTGAGATCATGACCTGGGTTGAAGTCAGATGCCTACCCAACTGAGCCACCCAGGCGCCCCAGTTCTGCTCCACTGTTTTACTTCTTCAGTGTCTGGGTCTTAAAGAATGACTAGAAATTTGCCCAGCTAATCAGCTGAGAGAGAGGCAAACTCATCATGAACCTAACATAGGGGACAGGGAAAAGCACCTGGGGAACAGTGACATGGCTCTTTATCTAGAGCGTGCAGTACATGCTAATAAGAAGTAACACACAAGTTCTCATTTCTTCCTATTTCTTCATATTTCTGGAACATTTCTGTTCCTCATTTTGGATTTCTAATTTAAAATGTTTTTATCCTATCTTTAAATGCTTGTTTGAAGATACTGAATAAAATCTTATGGTTGTATTACAGGGTTTTTTTTTTTTTTTTTTCCTGCTTCACTACTGTTTTTCTGGGGGAGGGTTTCATCAGAACTATTTTCCTTAATTTAGGCATTTTTTAAATGTTTTATTTATTTCTGAGAGAGAGAGAGAGAGACTGTGAGCAGGGAAGGATCAGAGAGAGAGGGGGATACAGAATCCGAAACAGGCTCCAGGCTCTGAGCTAGCTATCAGCACAGAGCCCGACGCGGGGCTCGAACCCAAGAACCATGAGATCATGACCTGAGCTGAAGTCCGACGTTTAACTGACTGAGCCACCCAGGTGCCCTAGGAACTTTTTTTAAAAAACAGTAATTCTGTACACATAGGAATGCTAGCTGATTTGATTGGTTTGTGAAAATTTTAACTCAAGAGCAGCCTCCTGTGTCAGTGTATTAACATACGGTTTCCTTATTGTATGGCTTTTACAGGGGTGAAGAGGGGAAGGATGCTATGAGTGGAAAGGATGTGTACCCTTCAAGTTTTAAAGAATTTTCTTTAGTTTTACACAATCCTAAATATAGTCCTTTTTGTTGTTGGGTTTCACCTGGTGAATTTCTTGGCTAATATTTATTCTTTTTTTAAAAACATTATATTAGATATCTGGGTATGGAAAATCTGTAACATTTCATCTGTTATTTAACCCTGAATTCTTAAAGCCAATACTTCTGTGTGTGTGTGTGTATACATTGTATTTTTTTTTTGAGTAGTTTTAGGTTGATAGCAAAAGTGAGCACAATGTACAGAGATTTTCTGTATCTCTGTACAAAGCCTCTCCCATTATGATCATCCTCTACCAGAGTGGTACATTTGTTACAAATGATAAACCTACAGGAACATATCATTATCAACCAGGGTTCACAGTTTACATTAGGGTTCACTCCTGGTGCTTGCTACACATTCTATGGGTTGGACCAATTTATAAGGACGTGTATCCACCATTTTAGTATCATACACAGTTGTTTGACTGCCCTAAAAATAACCCATTCATCCATTCATCACTCTTCTATATATTTGTTTTTATAGTATAAAAATTACCCATTATTGTGACTTATTGCTGTTAAAATGCCTATGATTATAAATTGATTAAAATACTAAATAAGCGTGTCTTTTACACTGAGAGTCATAATAAGTTAATCTACTACTGGATTAATTTTTAAAATATACATATTCTAAATTGTGACAGTGGACTCAGTTTACTCTCTTCCATTTGAATTAGTGCCACTAGGATACTCTAGTATGCTACCTTTATTATCCACATCATCAAAAAAATTCATATGTGGTCAGTACACACTATTTACAAAACTATCAATATAGACTTAAGGCCCTCTGAGAACATTTCAACAGCTCTTTTAAAAGAAGCAGAACATTCAGCTTAACATAATTTCACATTAACTGAGCCTTCTTGTTCTTTATACTATCTATACCTTGTACCTTATATTCTATGATTCATTATCTGAAAACATTTAATGATTGTCTATTATGTGACAGGCTCTGGTAATACACTGGTGAAAACTACAGGTAAGTTTCCTTACCCTCATGAAGCTTATAGTTTAGTGAGGAGTCAGAGACAAGAATCATAATATAATATAGGGCAATGTGATAGAGTGCCTGGGGTGGGTGGATACGGAGATGGGGATGGTTATTTAAAGTATGGTAGTCAAGGAAAACTTTAAAGAGAGATTTCAACAGAGAGCTGATAAAGAGGTTAGCATTCAAAGACCTTAAGAAAGAGGGTCTAGGGCACTGGGAAAAGCAATTGGAAAGAGAGTGGAGGCAGGATCGAGCCTTAAGGAACAGCTAGGAAGTCAGTTTGCAGGGGTGCAAGGAGCAAGCAAAAGAATGGTATGAGGTAAGGCAGAAGTTGGCAAGGACACGATCATACAGGAGGCCATAATAAGCAGTCTAGATTTTAGTCTGATTGTCACTGAGACCACTGGAGAACTTTAAGTCTGAGTATAATATTTTCTGAGTTATGTTTTCTAAGAACCCTGACTACTATCTGGAGAATGGACAGCAAGGAGACAAGAATGAGAGAGGAAAGACCAAAGAAAATGCGGTGGCAGCAGTCCAAGAGGCTTGCTCCACATGGCTTCGACTAGGGTTGTCACAGTGAAGAAGATGATGAATCAATGTAGAGAGCATGTGTTGCATGGGGAGCAGACAGGACTTACTGATAAACTGACTTGGAGTTGGAAAGGGTGGTAGAATCTAGTAATGCATATGGTGGTGCCATTTACTGCAGTAAAGAAGACAGGGAAGAAACTGGAGACACAGAGGAGTGCAGGTTCCCCTGCAGTAAGGAACTCTTTCCCTAGCCCTCACCTCACACACACTGGAGGAAGGAGAACTGGGTCACAGAGATAAAAGATGTGAGCACCATATCACACCAGCACCACTTGTCCAACCCAAAGTGCTACAGTCACGCTTGCAATCAGCTAAGCCACTGAAGCTTAAAAATACGTAAGCTGAGTCTTAGAAAATGTAGTAACTGAAAATGGCCTAAAAAGTTTTGGAATTGACCAAAGATGTTGTCCAGGCAAATGCAACATGCGGGAAAGAGGGGTTGTTAGAGCACAGCTGAAAGCAGTAACAGGAAAAAATTAAACTTGTATGATTATTCTCCAAGGCTTTTGGAATACTTAATAAATGAGGAGCCAAAAGTGACTTGAGAATGAGGAAGTGGTCAGTTGTATCAAAAGCTGCTGAAAAGTTTAAAAGGATGAAGACAGAGAACTGACTTTTGAACTGCAATACGGCAGTGGCTGACCACCTGGATAAAAGTCATTTTAATAAGTTGGAGAGACACAAAAGCCAAATCAGCACGTGTTTTTAAAAAAGCAGTACAGGAAGTGAGGAAATAAAAGGAAAAACTACAATCTTCTGAGAATATTAGCCACAAACCTATGAGAATCAAACAAACAAACAAAAAAACAAAACCAGCCCTTTTAAATCATAATGGCACTTTCATTCCTAACAGAAATACCACGACTGTTCAGCATTCTGCAACCAAAGCATACATAGTGCAGGAAAAACTGATTACCAAATAAATTTTGCTTTTCTTACCTTCACTGATTAAATTTAATGTGTCTTGTTTTCCATCTCCTTCTTGTGACTGACCTGGATCCAGTGAAGTCTGAGAAAGGCTAACTTCAGCTGATAACTGGTCAAGACTTTGATAACTTTTTCTGCAAAACAAGAGTGAAATACTACTTGGATTTCTTCTCACAAAAAAGAATTCCTAGAGATATTCTTTAATGGTTTTCTTTAATTTATTGAATTTTTGGTTTATTTTTCCCTCATTTTCCCCCTCAACTGTCTCTATTGGAGCTGCAATATGATCTCCATTATACTTTCCCTCTACCCTCTTTGGAGGTCTCTGGGTTTGATCCACTAAAAAAAAAGAAAAAGAAAAACAATTGTCAGACTAATTTAAACCCTTACACAAATTTCTGATTATCTAGCTGGGTAGAAAATGGGGACTTTCTGGTTATTATCATTTTTTTTCTTTTCAAGTAGACTTTATACCCAGGGTGGAGCCCAGTGTGGGTCTTGAACTCACAACTCTGAGCTCAAGACCTGAGCTGAGATCAAGGGTCAGATACTTAACCATTGAGCCATCCAGGCACTCCTGGTTATTGTCAATTTTCAAAGGAGTAGAAAATCTACAGATTATTCTTAATGCAGAAACCAAAATGATAGAACTTAATAATGATGTAGTACTTTCATGCATTTCAAAACTCACCAATGTCTTGATATTTTTACAGATATTTTTACATAAGAGTAATTATAAATTACCATTACAAACTCCTCTAATTTAGAAGTTTAAAAATCTTGGATAATAAAATAGGTGTTTATATTAATATACTATCAAAATAATTAATTTCCTTCCCTCATGTATTTGCTATTGTGAACTCAATTTCCATTAAACAAATTATGAGAGATGAATTGTAACACAGGAAAAATTCAATTATAAATGGGAACTTAATAAGGTTTATTATAAAACTTTCCTCATATTTGTTTTTTCAGGATAAAAACAACTCAAAAGACTTATGCAGTTTTGGTGTTATTGCCATTTTAAGTAAGAAAATAGGATTCATTATTATTTCCAAATATATATGATCCAGGAAAAAGAATGTTTTTCAGGTTTAAAATCTATTTCCCAAGGTACCCAGACCCTAACTAATTTCCTAGAAATGTCATATATTCTATGATAACATTACAGGAGAGTATATATATAATCTAAATGATCTATTCCAGAGCTATTCTCTACCCAGACACATAAGAGTAAATTTACAAATTTATTTAAAGTAGAATCTATTGTAGGAAACATCCGATAATTATAATAGATAAAACATATATGAGCTATATAATATGTAATAAAGAAGGATATCCAATATTTACATAATGCTTACCAAATTAGGTATTGTCCCTAAATGTTTATATATATTATTAAATTTAATCCTCACAAGTACTCTAAGAGGTTGGAATTATTACTATTCTCATTTTATAGCACAATGAACCAGGGCACAAAGAGATTAGATTTGAACCTGGTAGTGTGGCTCTAATTCTGTCCCATTAACGTCTATGCCATCTCCTGTTCCAGTACAGAAAGAAAAAAAAAAAAAAGGTTTTTCTTTTTATTAGAAACCCTTCTTAGGTTTCCAACAGCTTTGTCTGAAGAGCTTGACCATCATTACTGTATGTAATCATCACTGAAAATTTCACTTGACTTTCATTAACATTTTATTTCTTTAGCTATACAAGAAAGCAGGAACACAGGAATCTAATAAATAAGTTTCTTTCCCAAATTATTTTTCTGTGCCTGAGAGGTAGAAGGCCTGTCTTTAAACTATATGGCTTTAAGTGAGTTTCTGACACTGATCTTTCATCATAAGAAACTTGATTGTTAATATTATGAAATTTAAAAAATTATAAAAATATTTGCAAACAATGAAATACCTAGTAGCAAAACAGACATAAAATTCATTTGAAAATTATAAGGACTGAGAGCCTAACAGCACACATTTACAGAAATCAAGTACTGTCACTACTTGAGGGGAGGAAAGCCTATAAAGGCCCATAAAAGCAGCCTCTGGTTAAAAACAACACAAAATGAGCATTCTGCTATTTAAGTTGCTTTTAGATCTCATACTTCCAAATCCAAAGTGATTACTGAAACTTTCTATCCTCTAATTTGTTACACTTAGTAAGCAATCTTTCAATTTATAGGCCTCACTTAACCAAATGTCAATGAATATAGAAATAGAATTTGGTAGACAATGATTTCTGAAGCAGTAATAAAAATTCCAAGCCAAAATTAGGCAGCAGAATCAAAAGATATTAAGAACAGTATCATGTAGTATCTTCCTTGCATGAAACTGGTTAAAGACCTACCACTTGGGAGAAATCTAGTTGAGCTGTTTGCAGTAATGACAAAAAAGGGTTTTCCACATCCTTACCTGAGTTCCCATGCAGCCGGCAGCTCCACTGCCAAACATGCTGTCATGGAGTAAGCTGTCTATGGAAGTTCTGTCTTGAAAAGGTCACCACTACGTCCTATTTTAGAATTCTAGACTCATTAATGTCATACTATAAGACTGAAATGTAACCCACCAGACGCATCAAGCCAATCAACAGTCTAATCCTACTTCCCAGAATGGAATTTTTCAACTAGCAACAGCTTACTTAATCAAATAAGAACCCCAGACAGTAAGACGGGAATCATGTCATATGTCATAAGTATCTGGGACATAACAAAACCCACTGCATTCAATATCTAATTATTTAAAATTTTAAATCACTCAAATACAAACTTCTACAAAAAGAATTTGAACACCAAATAACGGTAAATTAAAAGGAAACTGAATAGGCCTGAATTCACTTATTAATAAATTTACTTCATATCAACAATCAGAAGTAATGATATTGATAATATATATCACCTGTTTGTCCAAGAGATGTTCTGAGGTCAGTAATAATTTACACTATCTGGCAGTCATTGGGCAAGGGAGTTTTAGGCTCAGAAGAAGACACTAGCCACATGTAGAAAATAAAAACAAAGATATGCATACTATATTCATAGAGGCACATAAAAGTGCATGGAGCCAAAGACAGGCTGATCTTTTTATTCTTGGTTTGATTTTCACAGAAATGTGTTTAAGGAACAAAGCAAATATTTCCTATAGCAGAATACTGATACACTTTAATCTACTAAAATTAACGGAAGGATGCAAGGGAGCCTGAAAGGAGAGGTTATATGCCAGCTGGTCAATGCAAAATCTACAAGCTGTAAAGAATTTTTGCAGTCTCAATGTTTTAGGGAATCTTACTCCAAAAATACTGGAGAGAGTCACATGAGAAGATGACCCTATAGGACATTTGAAGTCTTACACTTATCTACTTATCTGACTACTTATCAGAAGACATTCAAAAACATTAGCCTAAATAGTAGATCATGAAGGGCATCTAAAAGCTCATAATTCTCAATAGTTTTGATAGCCTAATTGAAAATAATGATAAATTTAGAAGACAAAAAAGCTTAAGTAGAAAATAAAAATATGATGACAATGAATCTGATCTTTAGGGATGGAAATGAGTGAGTTAGGCAATAATCTAAGATTATATAATATATAAGATTATATAACCAGTATCTAATAAGTTCATGTGACCTAGACTTAACATTAAAACAGAAACTTATTGGAAATAAAAAAGTAATCAAGTGCTCTAGGTGTGTGTTAAGGGAATGTGCTCACATATTTATTGTTGAATTTTTACAATCAGCCTATAATGCTTTAAACATTTTTAACATTATATCCCTAATGTTTGAAATAAAGGAAAAGATAATATTTATAACTAAATATTAAATTAAATTAATATTAATGACTAATGTTAATATTGCCAGGTCTAAATAATCAAGAAAAAATGGAAATGATACTTCTAGGTTTTCATAAACAGCACAGTAAATGAAAATAAATGTAAGATCTTCTACTGTGAAAAGGATTCTTCCATGAGGAGATGACAACATAGCCAAGTTACCCAATGACTCATTTTAAGAAATGTCACCAAGACCAAGAAATTGATCAAGTCAAACAGCACATTCTCAGTCTTATCAAAGCTAATTCAGTAGATCTCCTAGAAAAATACAGGCATCCTATTTTCTTAGCAGGACATTATAATTATACATATAATGACTACTTACAGGGTCAATTTCTTTCTTCAAATTATCAAAAGCACCAATGTTCCTTATTAAGACATTCTGGACACTTTGATAATAATTTGTAGGTTCTCAAAATATTTGTTAAACTAATTATGATATTGATCAAATTAAGAGGAATTAATGATGAGGTTAGTTCACGAGCATTAGCTTATATTACAAATTTGAGAAGAGCAAAAACTAGATCCTGAGAAAAGCTATGATGTTTCAAACATGATTTACACAGCACCACTCTAGTCTCGGAATCCAAAGTCTCCATTCTTACATTAAAAAGTTGCATTAAAAAAATTATTTCTTTAGAACAACTTGGGATTTGCTGGTCATTTTAATTTTACATAGGTTTTACAAACTCTCTAAGAAAGGAGAGCTTGGGACAGTGGGTGGGTGTACATTCTCCAAACACAGAAGATACAAGGTTATTTGAGACCATAAACAAAAAGAGATTATACAGAGAATAAATAAAGATTTCCTGAGAAGTGTTAGGTGCCAAGCAACTTATTACTCATGTGAACAGGCATTAGCATCAACCAGTATTACATGTGCAGAAGGTAAGAGGAGGTGTTGCTTAGTGTTGTTACACAGCAAGTAGTGTAGCAGAGATTACTTTTAAATCCTGACCTTAAACTCTAGGTACAATGATCTCCATACTATACCCTAGCTGCATACATTTTGTTCAGGAATAGTAGTTTGGTAATAGGGCCATCTACAGGCAATAACAACATCTACAATAAAGCCAGATTAAAGGATGATACGGAGAAGGAGCTAATGGAGTAGCTGAGTCAAGGAATATAAAATCTGCATCCATACCAAACAAGTTTCCGGATACTCCAATTACTTTTACTGCTGCCATAATACTCTGTAAAAGCTAGCTATTATTACCACATGCAAAGGTAAACTAAAAGTAATTCTCCCATTTAGACTCACTGCTTCCTCAATAGATAGCTCTACAGGTAGCCAGGGCTACAAACTCATCTTTTTTGGCTAAAATATTTTACCTTCTACTATCTAAAATAACAATGTGGATATCACAGTAAAAAAGCATATTATGAAGAGCTAATGTTATAATATTTTTATAGTTATAGAAGTAGAGGAGTATCTTGTATGTTATATAGAGATAAGTGAACCAAGTATTGAAATAGATTCAGTTTTCCTATCATATGTCAGAAATACAAATAAACTAATATTTTTATTACTTCCATACATCATAGGAAAATAAAATTATATACAAGCATAAGAAGATACACTCTAGTTATTCAAAACTTTCAGAGGGGTATATAAGGCAAGTAGATCCCAATCCATGAAAGCCTCAGTCTACACTGTGAATCATACTAAGCAGCATGGGTTAGTAGATAATGAAAAGAATTCTACTGATTTACTCCGTAAACGATCTGCTCACTCTTCCTTATCTTCAGCAATGAGTGAAACCAACAGCAAAAAAGGCAATAGAAGGTCAAATTTATTTTGCGCACTCCCTTTGATAAGTGAAAAAAATCAGATAGTAAACAGGTAGAAATTATGTCTATGCTAAAACAATCCCTGTAGAAAAGTCTAGCTACTACCTACCTAGGGAAAAGCACCCTAAGACATACAAATGGAAGTCTGTAGCTCTACCAGTGAAGCTTAAATACAAGAAAAACTCTAAAAGAAGAGTGGGGAGAGAGAGAGAAGAGAGCGAAGAGAGAGGAAAGAGAGGAGAGAGGAGAGAGAGAGAGAGAGAGAGAGAGCGAGGGAGGGAGGAGGCAGGCATGGAGGGGAGAAGAGAGGAAAGAGAAAAAAGTAGGGGGAAGGAGAAAAGAGAAAAGAAAGGGATGGAGGGACAACAGGGAAATAATTAGAAAATTAGCTGAAGACAGGAAAATAAAGATACTGAAAAAGTTATCAAAATGGGCAATGTGTCTAAAAGCCAAAAGAAGGTAATACAGATTTTAAGTTCCAAAATGAAGAAACCCTCAAGGAATACAGCCTAAGATTTGGCAGATTTCTCAACAATGTGACACTCTGACTTAATGAAATAGTCCTGTACGTGGGATAAAAAAATAGGTAAATCTTGTGGCCCATAGGTGGGGTGATTATATCTTCTATAGCCTCCAAAAATTAGATTTATTGAAAATAAGCAAAACTCATTCAGACCCACCAAGAACAAGTAAGTATCTTTCCATTCTTTCAGGAGATGGAATTTTTTCTCACTGGCAGGAAAATTATTCCTAAGGCAAATACAAATACTAAAGCTAAAATTCAAAAATAGATGGCTCATTAAATATGAGCCCATAGACTTAACTGAAGGACTGGCTGAAGATTAAAGGAGAATTAGGTAGCTGGTACATTTCTGCCTAAGAATTTCTTAGCATTTTACTTCCCCAGGGTGCCTTGGCTGCAAAACATTAACGTATTTACTGCCTTAATCTGACTTTATCAAGCCAAAGTAGTCTTAAATTCTACTTTTGCCCTAAGGTAATAATGAATTCAGAAAGAAGAATAAGAAACCAAAGTGGATAACCATATGTTTTGGTACAACTAAATTTGTAATTAGTTGGAAAAAAAAGTATTACACTTACTCATACCACTGTTTATTGTGTTTTCGGTAAAGCAACGTATCCAAGGCAACAGCATTGACATCCAGAGCTCCTGGGGAAGGCCACTGGTTGGTGAGGTGGGCAGTTAACTCTTGTCTTGATCTTAAATCATTATTCTTTAGCACAGTCCTGTGAATATTAAGACGGTGAGTGCTTTTGTCTTCACTGTTCTGCAATGGCAGAGGAACCTAATGGTATCAACCTGGCCCCCAAAATTCACCTTTTTAAAATAATACATTAACAGATTGTCAACAGAACTATAGGAAGGCTAGTGGGGATATGACTATCTCCTACAATATGTGTTTTTCACTTTCTCCAAAGGTTGTAACAAATCACTAATGTGTGAAATTTAGACTTCCAATCTTTAACAGAAAGAGATTACTAAAGGACTAAAGCTGCACTTCACATCTTCCTAAAAACTATGGTGGTATCTTAAAGTTATAGATTATTAGATTCCAGTTAAAATAAGAAAGAAAAGATTGCATGTGTATAATTTTCCAGCTTCAAAATTCACAATCTGTTAAAGCCATTTAACTCAGTAAGCAAAAAACAGTGTTTTTGTTTTATTCATTTTTAAAATGAATAAAAAATAAAACTAAATCAGAAAAATATAAAAAATCCATAAGGCTTCTGCAATTGTTTGTTATTAAAGTGTCCACCAATAAATCTTTATGAAAATAATTCCATCAGGGCACCTGGGTGGTTCAGTTGGGTGAGCGCCCCACTCTTGAAGATTTCAGCTTAAGTCATGAACTCATGGTTTCTGAGTTTGAGTCACATGGGATTCCGTCTCCCACCACCCCCCAGCTCATTCACGCTCTCTCTCTCTCAAAATAAATATTTAAAAAAAGAAAATAATTAAATCAATAACTACACTGAACAATATAACCTACTGGAAATTTCCATTTAAAGGAGGCCATTATAATAGCACATGGTTTACTCTCAGTTTTGTAGAACCATTAATAACAATTTGGAAAAGAACCTACTTTTTGCCTAAATTTAAACCTCAAAAATCACTGTCACAAGACTCATTCAACATTTTAGTTGGTGGTTAAAGATAATTTAAAAGTATAATTCTAGGGGCAGCTGGGTGGCTTAGTCGGTTAAGCTTTTGACTTCAGCTCAGGTCATGATCTCAGTCTGTGAATTTGAGCCCAGCATCTGGCTCTGTGCTGACAGCTAAGAGCCTGGAGCCTGCTTTAGATTCTGTGTCTCCTTCTCTCTCTGCCCCTCCCCTCCTCAAAAATAAAATAAAAACATTAAAAACATTTTTTTAAAAGTTTAAAACATAATTCTGGGGGACCTGGCTGGCTCAGGTCATAGAGCATGCGACTCTTGATCCAGGAGTTTTAAGTGTGAGCCCCACTTTGGGTGTAGACATTACTTAAAAATAAAACCTTTTTTAAAAAGACTAATTCTGTTTGCAAAGGTTGTATTCTACCTCTAACTAAGGCTTCAGAATACAACCTACGCAAGCCACATTCTGTAACAAGAGTCCATGACTTTAGTGTACCAAAGTCTTGAGCCATCAGCTCAGAAGCAGGGAAGTAATATGTGCCTGCCACTAAGTTCACAAACAACTGCCTGTTATGGCAGAGTCAATAGTGTGCTGGCAAGACAACCCTTCACTAAAGAAAATTATCCTGCAGAATACCTCTAGCTGGAAACCATGATTCAAATGGAACAACTCCATGTATATGTCTCTAACAGTCTTAACTATGAATATTTCTGATTTTATAGGATATCTGTGTACATTTAAAAATATTTACTCCACTATGTACACAAAGAAACATTATTTGATGTAAATACTAGAGTCTCAGAGTTGAATACTAAAAAAGTAAAACAGGCAGAAATCTGTGAGAACGTATCACAAGAAGGGATTCGTTTAGGCTATTTGCAATAATCTCACTGGAAAAGGGATAAAAAATTTAAAAAGGACTTTTGAGTACTTAAACACAGGTTTTTATGAAAACAGTAAAGAGTTCAGAAAGTTTTCATGACTTACAGAAAAAAAATCATGTTAAGCCAAAAAGGGGATCACTGGCCCGAAAAATCTATTATGATAAACTACTATTATCTGGGCTTTTTTTTTTTTAAAGTTTACTTATTTACTTTGAGAAAGAGAGGGTACAAGCAAGCGCCTATGCAAACAGGGAAGGGAGGGAGAGAAAATGTCAAGCAGGTTCCAGTGTGTTGTCAGTGCGGAGCCCAACACAGGGATCAAACTCACAAACCATGAAATCACGACTTGAGTCAAGAGTTGGATGCTAAACCAACTGAGTCATCCAGGTGCCCCTAGGCTTCGCTTATTAGATTTTTCTCCTTCACATAGTCACTCTCTTCTAGGGTCTCTATTGAATGTCACTTAAAAAGAACATCAATGTCGTAATTGGTTTAAAGGAAGTATTTAGAGCAAAATGCAAGGAAGGCAAATAGGCATCTATGAGGAAATGACATTGGAAAAATTTAGTTAATGATAAGTAACTGAACAACTTCCAACTTAGAATATATTCTTTCTGGAAAGTGAAGTTTTACACTGCATAAAATGAAAAAAAAAAAAAAAGAACTAAGTTTTACACCGGTTTTTACACATTAGTCCATGGAAAATTTTAGCCTAATGACAAATTAATTATTGTATTGTCTTTAGACTTCTGTGTTTAGAAATCCTAATGACATTGTTTTCTAAGGGAAGCTCCCTGGTCCTCTGAAGCAGGAAATAAGAGACTTCAGTGTACTGGATAGGCATAGCTTCATCCATGTTGCATTTGTTTTCCACCTTCCGTGAGGAATATGGAAACAAACAATATTGGCACTTGACTTGCTACTATGAAGGGAAAGGTTCCTGGAGGACCTTTGTGTAAGGCCCTTTCTCTCACCACTTCAGTATACTAGGGGCCATTAAGGTACATTGAAAACCCCACCCCTGAATTCTGAATCTTGACTCAGTCTATTTAGATAATAAAGAGACAAAGTAGTTTATTCATTCTAGCAGGGGCCCTGACCAAACTGTACCAGCAAAGAGACATACGTGATGTTTCTACTTTCCAACCCTCTGAAGTAGTTCAACATACCTCTTTCCAAGCCTACTTCTATAGTTTTCCTATCCGAGTTGCTGATATCAATCTAATGAATTCCATTGGTGCTTAAGAGTTGGCTGTGCTTTTTTTTTACAATAAAATCCTATTATTTAGTGAAAGAAAAACATACCTAGTTAACCTCAAGACCTACACAAAGGTAATCTGATGTTAATATGGAAAACGAGGGTATTTTTCTCACTGGCCAAGCTTAAAAGTAGGTTCATATTAAGTCACTCAACAATTACTGTTATTTCTTAGTGGTGAAATCAGTGGCAGTTAAAGGTAAAATATTATAAAGTTAGTATTTTTTTTTAAATGTTTTATTTATTTCTAGGAGAGATAGAGACAGCGTGAGCAGGGGAGGGTCAGAGAGAGAGGGAGTCACAGACTGAAACAGGCTCCAGGCTCTGAGCTGGCAGTCAGCACAGAGCCCGACGCGGGGCTCGAACCCATGAACCGCGAGATCATGACCCGAGCGAAAGTCGGACGCTCAACCAACTACGCCACCCGGGCGCCCCTATAAAGTTAGTATTTAACTTTAATTAAAACTCTAACAAATGCTAACACCTATAAGCTACTCTTATAATTAAATTATTATATATGAGATAGATGCTACTTGTCACTTATATCTATGTTATAAGTCTCTCATTAACAACTGAACATTCTCTCATTATGGTAACAATTCTACAGGAAAATACAACAAAGTAAAATTATTTATTAACATATCAGTAATATATTTTCCACAGTAATTTTAAGAACTTTCCTGTGGTATCTACCCCTAAATTGCTAGACAGTTAATTTCTCTTCAGATTTTCAATAGGAATTATGCAAGAAGTTTGCCACAAAAAATATAATTCAGTCCCCTGGCCCACAGCTTTACTGAAATATAATCAGCAATTAAAAATTGTGAACATCTAGGGGCACCTGGGTAGCTCATTCAGTTAAGCGTCTGACTTCAGCTCAGATCATGATCTCATAGTTCTTGGGTTTGAGCCCTGTGTCGGACTCTGTGCTGACTGCTCAGAGCCTGGAGTCTGCTTTAGATTCTGTGTCTCCCTCTCTCTGCCTTCCCCCACTCATGCTCTTTCTGTCTCAAAAATAAACATTAAAAAAAAAGTTTTTTAAATTGTATACCTCTAAAGTATACAACTTGATGATTTGATATACAATGTGAAATCACCTCACAGTTACCTCTTCTTTGTGTGTGGTAAGAACACTTGAGATGTACTCTCTTAGAATATTTCACGTACATAATACAGTACTGTTAAGTATAGTCATGTTGCTTTACATTAGATTTCCATAATTTATTGTATAACTGAAACTTTGTACTTTTTGACCAATATCTCCTCATTTCCCCCTCTGTCAGGGCCACAATTGTTAACAACCTTTCTACTCTCTGCTTTGACTAATTTAAATTCCACATATAAGTGAACTATTTGTTTTTCCACATCTGATTTAGTTCACTTAGCATAATGCTTTCACAGTTTATCGATGTTATTGCAAATGGCAGGATTTCCTTCCTTTTTTAAGGTGGAATAATATTCCATTGTGTTTATGTGTATATATAGATAGAATCTTCATATATCACATTTTCTTTATCCATTCATCCATAAGTGAACACGGAGGTTGTTTCCATCTCTTGACTACTGTAAATAATGCTGAAATTAACATCAAAGTGCAGTTCTTTTTGAGATTCTAACTACATTTTTTGGATAAATACCTAGAAGTGGGATTGCTTGAACATAAGATAGTTCTATTTTTAATATTGTGAGGAAACTCCTTATTCTTTTTCAAATTGACCATACCAATCTATAGTTCTACCAACAGGGCATGAGGGTTCCCTTTTTCCATATCTTCACCAATAGCCATCTTCTACCATCTATCTGGTAACACACATTCTAAGTAAGAAGCTATTTCATTGTGACTGTGATTTGCATTTCCCTGATGAGTAGTGAAGTTAAGCATCTTTTTATATAGCTATATTAGTCATCTACATGTCTTCTCTGAAGAAATGTCAAGTCCTTTGCCCATTTTTGAGTTTGATTTTTGCTA